CGAAGGCTGGCCACCGCAAGAACGGACGGGCAGAACGACTCTTCCCCAAGGCCGGGGCAGGGGAGCAGCCCCGGGGCGCGCTCTCTTACCTGGAAGCGACTCTGCGGCCACCAGCGCAGCCGCCAACGTGACCAACAGCGCTAGACTCTTCTCACACCCCATCGCGCCGCCGTCCCGGACAAAGCTGCCCGCTGGGCCGCGACGGCTGCCGGACCCCGCAGGTGAGCCACGCCCATCGCTCTCCGGGCGCCAATCACGGGGGCTGACGTCACAACCAGCGAGGCCGCCCCTGTCCCTACCGCACCTGTCTGGAGGGCGGATAGTCCACGCCCACCTATTTTGCATAGGGTGCGGACAATCACGTAGTACTGGTAGGAAAGTCCCGGATGGAGAAACCTGCCAGGCACAGGTTGAAGACCGATCAGGCGCACCCGGGGCAGGGCTACGGTCCGGCCCGCTCCTCCTGGTTCCCCGTCCCTGCACACAGTGCCCTCGCATACTGTCTGGTTCTGGGATGGCTTCCGCGGGAAGCCTCATCCACTTTCCGTTTCTCCTCCACCAGCTTCCGTCCCCTGGCCTTGGGAAGAGGCTCCAGGCAAAGGGTGCTGGGGTCCCCGTTTCTTCCCTCCTTGCCTTTCTTCTGTCTTCTGTCCATCCATCCGCCTTTTCCCTCCTCCCTCCTTAGCTCTCCAACCTCCTTTTTGCCGAGGTGGGAGTTGGGGGGTCCTGCAGCTCGGTAGGGAGGGCCCCCTTTCGTGCCCGGAAACCTGCTCTGCGTTGGAACCGCGTACGCGGTCACGGAGGCCTTCGCTTGGGTTAGCCCCCGCTGCTGGGAGGCTTCCTGAAAAAGTCGTACCTCTTTGGGAGGGGGGTCGTTTCGCCAAATGGTACAGTACTTGCATAATGACTTGGCTGTGGTGGAACTGCCCAGGCAGGGTGGGAGGGGTCGTCTTGCTCCCCGCTGGGGCCGAAGCAGCACTGCAGCGGCGCTCTCGTCTCAGCTTCTGAGTCCGAATCAAACGGTCCGAGCAGAGCAGCCTTGTTTGAGTCTGGCGCCAGGAACTCAAAGAGCGAAGCCGCCGGCTTTTTCCAGAGATGGGACCGAATCGCAGGTAGTTCGGTGACACTCGCCTGTGGAAGGCAAGCATTTTGCAGCACGGCGTCTAGGAGAGAGGGCCCTGCTGGCAACCCATTAAAAGGGCGGCGGGGGGCTCATAGCTGGTGGAGTGCCAGGCCCAAGCTCTTGGTAACTGGCATTACTCAGAAAATGTTAAGAACATCGCCGGCTACAGCCCCGAGAAGGGGGAAGCGGCCGATCGACCACTAATTGCTGTAACGTAACTGGAACCCGGAGCTTCAGAGGCCCCTTGGCGGCGGCGGCGGCGGCACAGAAGGATCAGCTCTGGAAAAGGGAGGCCCCGCAAGGGTCACTCGGTTCCTGCCCGCCAGAGCTAGGCCTCACGCCTCCGTCTCTCAGGGCGGCCCGCACGAGCGGCAGGTCGCCCCTTGGGTAACCGGGAGACCGGCGATCCCCTGCCTAGGCAGCAGCCCTCTGCCACCAGAGCAGGACGGCACCCCTCGCCCCGAGGGAGGGGCTGGAGCCCAGAGCTCCGCCCCTGCCTGCTATAAGGCGGGGGAAGGCGGCGGACGCCCCGTCTAGCTGGCGGAACGAGCGATGGCGGCGGAGCGGGTGGGGAGGCGCTTGGGGCGCGCGTCGCCGGCCCGTTCTGCCGGCCTCTCTCCCGGAGGGAACCGCACAGAAGGGGCCTCCAGCCCAGGCATCCAGAGGCGCCAAGCGCGGGTCACTGTTAAGTATAACCGACGGGAACTGCAGCGGCGCCTTGACACGGAAAAGTGGATTGATGGCCGCCTGGAGGAGCTGTACCGAGGACGGGTGAGGAGGCAGTCTTGTCGTTTGGGGGACGCGCGTAGACCGGCCCGCTTGGGATAGCGGGATCCTTGTGGCCAAAGGGTCTCGAGTGCCATCGCAGCTTGCCGTCTAAGCCGGCCTGCGGCCGCGCTCCCTTCCTGGGCTGCTGGAAGAGCGCCCGACCCGCCCGCCTTCAACTCTGGCCTCCGTGCGGTTCCTCAAGGCCACGATGGGGTTAACGTTAAGGGTCTTTGGGACCCCCTCCCCTTCCTCCCGCCCAGCTGCTTGTACTACTGCAGGCGCTGCTCCTCGGGGGCTCTGGGGAGCCATCTGCCTTATAGGGAGGCCCATCTGCTGAGGGGGCGCCACAGTCTAGAGGCTTGGGTGGGAGACGGTCAGGACGGCGCTGTAGCTGTGAAGGAGAGGAAGGTGGGGAAAGGCTTCCGGGGGCTCGCAGTCCTTTTGGCAAGCAGTCTTCGTCCAGCCTTAAATAGATTAGTCGGAATGCCTGGCTCCTGCTTTTTGCTTGGTGGGATTTTAATGCTAAAGAGATTGGAGCATGTTGTGGCTCTGGGCCAGGAGAAATAGAGTTATCATTGCGACTGCCTGGCGCTCAGACTCGGAGGGGAAGCGGTGCTGCAGAATTATGGTGGTTTTGCCTTCTACCCACCCCATTCACCCATCTTTCCAGGGACCAGGCACTTGGGTCCTGGTGTGGGAATCAGGCTTTTCCTGGGGTCTTGAGGGCAAATTCAGAAATGCCCTCACTCAGCAGAGAGCTTGGGACATGGAAGAAATGCCCTCACTCAGCTGGCCCTGCTGAGAAAGACATCAGAAGTTCTGGACATCTGCTTTCATTGACTTCAGACTAGGATTGTGGGAGTTGCAGTCCAGAGCGACTGGAGGGCTGTTATCTGCCAAGCTCCAAATGGGCTTCATGGTTCTTTCTTGCAAGGGGTCTTGGCTTTGAAAAGTGAGGTCAACCTTGCTGTGGCTCACATGAAGAAGTGGGAGCTGGGCTTGCAGAGAAGGGTCATCGGTCTTTGGAGGCAAGAGAAATGCATCCCATTCTCCGCCTCCAGTTCCTGATATTCCCCTTGCCTAGAAAGAATTCCTCGGGGTGGGGGTGGGGAGCCTGGCCTAGCTATAAGAGAGACATCTCGAATCCTCCCATGAAAGGAGCGGGTTACCATCTGGGTTGCTTTTTTGCCTCCCTGGGGAATCTGGGAGGGAAGAAGTTCAGCTGGCAGGCCAGTTCTGCGGGAGGGAAGCAAGCCCCGGGCTGGAAAGTGGTGGTAGGTTGGCACCCTGGGGCTGCTTGGTACAAGAGGACAGCAGTGCTGTGACTATTCTCCTTCCCCCTGCACACTAATGGAGAAGTTGCAGAGGAAGTGGGTGCAGATGGAGCCAGGCCCTTCCAATTGGACCAACCACTTCTTTAGTGGCAGGCAGAAGAGGAGCAGCTGCATAAGGGTACTTATGCTCCCAGGATTACCTGTATTTGGAGGAAAAGCAACAGCCAAGTCTCTGGGATGTTGGTGGGGGGGGAGGCGTGCTCCTCCTCCTGCATAAAAAGAGAGATACAGGTTGGCCTATGTGCAGACTCTGCCATTCCAGATGCATGCTATGTCCTAACTATGAAATGTCTTTCCATTCGACTGAAGAGTTGCACAAGCCACAGAACCTGGGATATTGTAAAAAAGCTGTCCTCACGCTCATAATTCTTATCCACTTCCTGATGCTACCATGGAACTGGTCACAAGGGCCCCGTAGCCTGATCCTTTTGGTTTTGTGGCAGGAAGATGAGATGCCAGATGAAGTCAATATTGATGATCTCCTGGAGATGGACACAGATGAAGAGAGGGCCAAGAAATTACAGGTAAGCTTCCTTCACATTACCAAGTCTGCTGACTCAGAGGCAGGAGTCCAGAACAGGCACGGTTTACTCCCTAGGTCCTGCCAGCAGGAGGGGAAGGGAGGAGAAAATGTAGGCCTTGATGAATTTTAGTTTATAAAAACAGCAGAGGCCAACCAGTCACGGTGTTACAACCGAGCAAGCAACAGGCTGAACAGTGGGCTGTGGTGCAGACTAATTCTGAGGAAGTTACCATTCTAAGAGGTCAGGGTCATTTCCAGGGCCAGACAGTGAACAAATTATCAAATGTACTGAGCTTTAATACTCATGAAAGTACCAAAACACTGGTGCTAATTTCTGGACACTGAGGATTATGCATATTACTCATCTCACCCTGCACTGTGTATTAATAAGCAAACATACCTAATGTGGAATTAGCATAGGTACATCCCATTTTGCAATAAATACTAATTAGGATGTGAACAGGATAAGGAAAGAGAACTGGGCACTAACTGTTCATGGCAAACAAGAAGGCTGCGAATTAGATCTGGGCTCAGGGGATCTATTACTAATGGGGAGAGATTTTCCTGGTTTAGTTCAAGGGTAAAGCTGAGAACCAGGCTGGAAATTAAAAGGGCCAAACTCAAGGAATGCTGTGCCCCCATCCTTTGGGGCTGTTCCTCACTGTAATTTCTTTTTAGGGCATCTTGGAGTCATGCCACAACAACACAGAGGTGGGTGTCCACTTTCTGAGCACTAGCAATTGCTGGCTTTTATCTGGGTCCTGTGGAATGTGTGTGCCTGCAAATGGGGGTGGGGGTGGGGTTGCTTTCACCAAGAGATGCCACACTTCCAGCTGCTATGTAATTGTTGCTTTCTGATATTCAGTTGAAGAATTGCATTAACATGTCCTTTGTGCAGTAATGCTCCCTTTCATCCTGTGGGTTCCCTGGCCCTCTCCCAACCCCATGACTCCTTAAGGGTGGTCCCTTGTAATTCCTGGAGTTCCAGTCCCAGGAATTAGGCATGCCAGAGCCGGTCTTGAACTAGCTGGCTGCTCTTACACAGATCCTGGGAGTCATTACTGGAAGGGAGATCTCTCTCCAGCTTGAGTCCCCCCCAGTGCCAGACCTCTTCTCCATCTTACTGGAGAGGAATGGTAGGACTCAACCTCCTTCTCCTCCACCCCCCCCCCAGGACTTTACCAGAGAGCTGCTGGAGAAGCTGAGAGGCCTCCGAACAGAACACGTCCTCCGCCGGACAAGTCCCAGCAGCCAGAGGAACATGGAGGAGGGTGTCGAAGCGGCTGTGAAGCGGCTGTGAAGCTGGGCAGCTGCGGAGGGCTGAGCTGCTGGAAGAATTTGCTGCCTCCACTAGCTTGGACTGGTTCCACTGTCTGCAGGGCACTGGCTTCAGCCGCCTCTGCCCCCAGCCACCCCTGTCCAGCCATGCCCTGGCCTGACTTTAACAATATTCTTAAGGCTCCCTCCCCTCTGGGTAAATCTCTGTACAGTGGATGACAGCCTTTGCTGTGGTCCCCTCCCCTCCTATAATAAAGTGCTCTCTCCCCCAGGTGCTCAACTACTGCCTGTGCCAAAGAGGTTGAGGGGGGAGATGGGAGCTCATGACTGGGACCCTAATGGAAAATAACCTGGCCACCAGTGGCAACCTCAGAACAGGGCTTGCCCCCTTTGAAGCTCCTGGCTGTGGCTGTGGCCTGGTCTGGGCATAACCCAGAAGCTGCAGCTGTATTTGCACACTCTTGTGCTGAACGGCCAGTCCAGACTCTGACAGCTACATTCCCACAGCATGTTGGGCTAGATTTTCTCTGGCTGAACACGTTTGATTATCCAGGGCCCATGAAAACTCAGAAACTGCTTCTTTTGCAAATCCACGACTCCGCAGCCAGCCACTTCTTAGCCTAGTGTGACGTGCAGTGACCCCAGCTATCAGGGAATAACAGATAAACTCCTAGGTTTCGGACCAACTTCAGTCGGAAAGGTGGCACTGAGCTTTGAAGCCTTCCTGCCTCCCCCCTCCCCCAGCTTGTCACATTCTGGGCTCTCAAGGGCTCCAGCTGCTCTGGGTGGGAAGCTGGTTCCTGGAGAAAGAGTCTTCGGCAGACCAGCCAGCTGAGCACAGCAGCAGCAGCAGCAGCAGCAGCAGCAGCAGCAGCCCGCCCTTCCCCTTGCCTGCTCTCAACTCTCCATGCAGACCAGCATGGTCTGCGAGTGGGTGGGGGTCCCAGCCACTCCGCCCACCTGCCTGCAGCTGGGCCTGCAGGCAGCCAAACCAATCCGGTTCTCTCTGCAGCTTTTGGTCCCCCAGCAGCAGGGAACGTCCAGGCGCTAGAAGGGCTCCACCCAGGCCCCAGTGATGCCTGTGCCTGTGCGCATATGGCTCCCCCCCACTTCTCGCCATCACTGAGTCTCTGTGAGTCGATCGGTACCAGCTGCTGCCAGCCTCAGTCCAAGCACGCGGAGGATCCTTTCCCCCCAGGGAGGGAGATGCTTGCCAATGTCACTTCTTTGAGCCTCTCCCCAGAGGGAAATAGGGGGCAGGCTGCCTCCCTCCTCCAGTGGCTGCTGCCGAAGCTTGTGCCCTTATTTGGGAACAGGCGAAGGCTAGAGGGGTGGGCGGGGGAGGGACTTGCTGGAGCCCTGGGCGGCTGCAGCCGGGGAACAGCCAACTCAGCTAGGCCCTTGTTGCCTGCCCATAGCCTAGAGATGCCCGCAGCCCCCCGCCAAGGAGCAGCCCCCCCTTTTCACTCGCCTTGGTATGGAGGGGAGGGCTAGACAAGTCCAGGAAGGGGATCCCTGTTTGGCTTTGGGGGCTCCTTTTCACAGGCTGCTGTGGTGAATGACTTTTCCTCAGTTGTTCCTCTTCTTTTTCTTTTTTTTAACTTGTTGCAATTTTAAAAGAGAAATACAGGAAAAAAAAACAGCATGCAAAAACAAATCAAAAGAAAACCAGTATTATTCAACAAAATAATTATGAAATAGTATTAACAAAAAGAGAAAAATAGCCTTTTAAAAATGGATAAATGACACATTTCCTGAATCCAGTCTTTGCTGTTTAGGATAATAGCATTTTTCCAATCTGTCAATATAATTCTTTTGGCTATTCCCCACAACCAATGTACTCTTCAGAAATGGTCAAGTTCCACAGTTTTGTAATCTACTGCAAAATAAAATTGACACATGTAACTTGAAAACATTTACCCATTTACATTTACTTACACGTTACAATATTCTTCCAAAAAGAAACCAAAACTAGACAGTTCCTTCCTGACACAAAACATTAAAACTTTAATATAATCCCAACCCTTATATAATATTGATCCTAAAATTAACCATTCAATTAACCCACTTCATCGTCTTTTACACTTTCTTGTTTTATAGTGAAGTGAATTAATTAATTCATTTTTCTCACAATTTTAAAGGGTAGAGTGTCCAAATACAATGAGATTATGTTTGGGTATATATATTTGGGGTCAAACATACTATTGTTTATTGTTGCAGATGTTATTTTTTATTGTTTTTATATGCTGCTAGCCACCCAGAGTTGCTATGGTGAGATGAGCAGTTGTACATGAATCAAATAAATAAATGAATAAATAAATACGAGTTGCTTGAGTAGGTCCAGCATTCTGTGGAGGCTGGATTTAGTTTATGTTCACCAAGTCATTCTTGAGCCAAAATGGAACTGAGCAAAAAATCACCAACTGCAGCTTTGGGCTTTCTCAGTTTGGGCAGTTGTCATTCTCTTGTGCTTTGAACTGCTATTTATCAGGTTGGAGAGTTAGGAAGCAGGAAGGACACCAGTGCCCCCCACTCCAAATCACCAGGTGCTGCTGACTTTGGTGACTTCTTAGGTGCTCGAGGGCTTTGGCTGCAAGTTAGAACCACCTCCTCTGGCACTGCCAAGCCTGCCCTGATGGCCCTGGAGATTGTGACCTTCCTGTCAAGGGAGAAGCTTAACAGGAAGGGCCATGCTCATGACTCATGCCCCTGTGGTCAGGGGTGGTCACTGCCCATCTTCTCCAGGCTCACCAGATCCTTGCCTTCCCTTTCCCGTAAGGTCCCAGACCCCTATACAGATTCACTCTGCAGCACTGCCTACTGGAGAAAGACCCTTTCCACGTTCAAGGGGATGCCTTGCTCCCCAGGTTGTCCCGTGGTGCAAAAACTTAACGAGCAGTTTCGGATGCAAAAGGTGATCAGAGGCTGCCTCCTGGTGGCTAAAACCTCCTTTGCTCACTTCTGGATTCAGAAGCAAGACTTGGCCCACCCAGCAGTCAATGGTAGCCTTGTCACCCTGCAAGACGAACGGGGAAAGCCTGGGCACTGCTGTTCTGAGGGAGCCAACAGGAGAAAGAGCAGTGAGGTAAAGCATTGCCTTTTCGGATTACTGTTATTGGGGGTGCAAGGGGATCTCTTGCCAAAGTGATGGCCTGGGGCAAAACTGGTTTCACCTTGACTGGGCCCCATTAACCTTTGGGATTTGCTTCCCAGGGTTACAGCAGTAACCGCCAACTGGGACTGGCAGTTCCCCCCTGGCCTAAGAGCAGTGCAAGGAGGCAGGGAAGCTGGTGTGCTTGAGAAGACTGATGCTCTTCTACCAGGTGGGGGCTTCTCATCTGCTTGGGCCCCGGTAGCTGGGACAGCAGGACCTGTGATCTAACCCAGTGCAGCAATTCTGAGGTTGCTGGAATGACACTGTTCTCACTGGCACCTGGCTTGCTTTACCCCACAAGCTGAGCTTTGGTACAAATGGGGCTCCTGGCTTTGCATAATCCACTGATCCAAACAGCCACACAAAAGCTAACTCAGCCAATGCTAATCGGGCGCAGCCTCTGACGGACCCTCCTGTCTCTGGAGCAAAGAAAGGGCCAGCTGATGTCGTCAGAAAGTGACTTTGGCCCGAGACTTCGGGACAGTGCTGACCCTTCCTCACTCAGACCCTCTGTGGCCAGGGAGAGCAAATCAAAGATGCGCAGATGGGCATACAAATCCCACTGTGCTGAGCACCTCTCTTCTACCCCACCGGCTGCAGGGCCCAGGAAAACCTCCTGGTGGTATGGGACATCCTCCAGGGGTCCAGCCCTGCCTCCTGCAGCCCCTGCCCCCTCCACTTCTTGCCACAGCAGAAAGAAAAGAACCACTGAGGAGAACAATGGAGCGCCCATCCTGGGCAATGCAGTGGGGGGGGGGGGAAGAGGAAGAGGAAGAGGAAGGTCCATTGCTCCACTGACCCTCTGAATGTAGTTGGGCCCTCTAACCTGGGGAGGCCTGGTTTTCCTACACCAAAGCTGACACATCTTGAGTATCTATCCTCCCTCCAACTCCCACATGGACAGGAGGAGGGCAGGGTAATTGCACCAACTCTCTGATGCAAGTGGGGAGGAAGGGAGTTAGCCCCAGTCCAAGGGATGGAAGCAGAGAAGAGCTGCAGCTGCCAAGGCCTTTGGCAACAGCTGCCTCCAGGGAGGCTGGGGAATGTTGGATCTTTGGAGCTTCAACCTCCTACCATTGCCCCTTACAACTACCACACACACAGATGTATGTGTGACCACGTTCCACAAGTGCAAAAAGGTGAGGCTTGTGCTGTGACACTTTGTCCTTTGAGTGCAATTGTGGCTAGGAGTGGATGCCTACATTCACAACTATTACAAGCCCATGCTAGTTATTAACCAGGGTAGAGAGATTCAAAGATGGGCAGAATCTCCAGATATGTGGAGGTCACCCTTGGCTGCTCTCTGTTCTGTGTGGCTTTCATTTTGCAAGTGCTCAGAGGTCCCTTGTCCCAAACACAACACAACCTAATCCTGGCTCATTCACACCTGCTACCTCTTTTTCTCTTTCCTTCGCCACTTGGAAGTGGTGCTCATAAAGGGCTCACTCACTTTCCACACCCAGCCCATCAGCCTCAACCAAAGGATCTTACCCTTCCACCACACAAAGCAAAATTGCACCCCGATTACAGTGCAAGCCGTGTCTGAAAGAGCCCCCTCCCAAACTACCTCCTGCTACCCAAAATCAAGAGGTGTCTGGCAGCACCTTTTCAGACTAACACATTATTAAAAGGCGGCAGCTTTTGTGAGCTACAGCTTACTTCATCAGATAGATGGAGAGTTCATGCATCTGATGAAATCAGCTGTGGATCACAAAAGCTGACTCCTTTTCATTACATCTGTATTCTGAAAAGATGATTATTCAGACTATATTTTCTCCTTCAAGTTTTCTGAAAGGACACTGTGTTATGCCTGACCTGAGGCAGGCAGGCAATTCCCATCCCCCACTTTCTAAATTAATTTAGAGCTCTCTCAATGCTATTGAGCAATGTAACCTCTTCATATGGAAGAGATGCTGTTTATGAGAGAGAGAGAGTGATGGAGACTGCCCCAGCCCTCCCTCTCTGGGGACAGAAATGGGTATTGCACTTTTAAAAACAAGGCAGAAGACACTGGTCAGAGGCTGGAAATAAGTGGGTGCGCCACCTTCTTAAGCAGCCTCCAGTCCATGGCTGGAACCATCAGGAGTTGGTGGGAAGGTTCAGGCAAAAGGAACATCTCTTGGAAGAGAATTTTATTTCTAAATAGATAGCAAGTCTAGCAAGGCATTTACATCAGGGTTTTGATTTCTGTTCCCTGTTTGGAGAGCCAGTTTGATGTAGTGGTTAAGGCATCAGGCTAGAAATTGGGAGATGGTGAGTTCTAGTCCTGCCTAGGCACAAAGCCAGCTGGGTGACCTTGGGCCAGTCACTTTCTCTCAGTCCTAAGGAGAAGGCAATGGCAAGCCACTTCTGAAAAGCCTTGCCAAGAAAACTGTAGGGACTTGTCCAGGCAGCCTCTGAGAATCGGACATGATTGAACAGATTCCAAAAAAAAAGTCTAGCAAGGCATTTACATCAGGGTTTTGATTTCTATTCCCTGTTCAGCCCAAGTCTAAGATTCTTAATTCTTTGTAGAAATAGGATGCTAGGCTTTAACGTTGCAAAGGACCTAGTCTTTGTTTTCTCTTTAACATCTTATGCTTGGGATAGCAACAGCAGTGGCCTCTTCTCTGGGACTGAGGGATGAAGATTCCATGGTAGGTGACCAGCACCATCCCGTGGTCTCCTTGGAGAATTGCGTGGTCTGTTGCACAGCTGGTCTTCTCCCACGTTTTGAATAGCTCCACAAATTCCTTTTTTGCAGCACTGAATTTTGCATTTTGATATTTAAAGTTAAAAAGTGAATTTTACATTCCCCTTTTTCCTAAATAACGTTAAATGATTTATTTCATGAGAATGACCATCTTGGGGTGGGGAGAGCACTCACTCCAGATTCCTTTAGTCAGTCTGAAATCCTGCTTTGTATTGCCAGGCTGCCGGTGATGGCTTGCTCGCTCATGCTCTCTCACCTGGGATAGGGGAGAATGCCAGATGAGGGACCCCCCCCCCCCAGTAGATAGATGCTGGCAGCAAGAACTTCCAACCTGCTAACCCAAAGAGGAGATGAAGCTTCTGGGCGAGGGCAGGAGACCTTCAGCCTTCCTTCCATTGCAGCCTCCTGGAAGCAGCCCAGTCTTGGAGTAGGGAGCCAGCTTGATGCCCAGTCAAGCCTGCCTCTGGAGACAGGCGGCCCTTCCCAAGCCCAGCCCAGGAGTGAATCACAGCTTTCTTGACAGTGATGCCAGTGACTTGACTCCTCCTCTCATGGAGTTCCTCCTGGCCCCATTCCATCACAGCAGACCAAAGGCCACCCTCCCAGCAGTTTAATTAGGCTAATGTGCTGTATCTATTTCTTTTTAAAAGATGAGATACAGCAGAGCCTTAAAATTCACAATACCAAGAAGGCAAGAGGGACGTCCACCCCTCCCCTCTGCAGCAGCCATCAGGGAGGCAATGGGTCAGCAAGTCAGGAGGGGTCCCTGTATTTCTGCAGGTGCAGAACAGTCACCCCCTGCCCCTGCTCCAGAGCCATATCCAAGGACTTACCATTCCAAGGAGGCTGCATCCAAGAGGAATGTGTTGCCCGAGGCCGTGAGAGACACGCAAGGTGGATTCTCAATGTCCTTTCAGTTATTGCTTCTCTCCCGTGATGCCTGACAGGGCTCCTTCTGCACCTGCCGCTGCTGAGATGTCATCCTTGGGGCCAGGCATGCTCGCTCTCCAGGCCACATGCCCAAGATCAGCCAAGTTCCACCCAAGACCTTTTGGGTAGCCATGCCTGTGCTACCCTTCTGAGCTCAACGCACCTCACTGGGGGGAGGGAGACCGCAAGGGTAAAGTGAGGCTGTCCACGTAGACTCACACTGACGGCCAGTGCTACGGTCATGCTGCCCAAAATCTACCCACAGGCCCAATTCCTGGTCAAATTTACAACAGCAAATTCTGTCTCAGGGAAAAGGATCCCGAGGTCTGCTGGCCGCAACTGCTGGGACTTTCATTAGACGCTAAGGCAGGCTGCCTTAGCCTTCTCAACCAGCCCCTTTCCCCCAGGGTCCAGGCTGCCGGTTCTCCCAAGGTCAGTCTTCTCTGATTCTTTCCCCACAACCCATCATCCCTGCAAAGCATTCTATTCCGGCTGAAAAGCCATGAACTACAATGGCAGCCTTGCTGACTGCAACCCTCTGCCTCACAAAGGGAGTATTTGAAATGATTCCACACCAGAGCAAGCTGGGCCGCAACCTTTAAAATCACCGCATCATTTAATGCCAGCAGTACGATAGGAATCTTGAGTCTGGACATTGTTGGAAGACACGTGTGTAATAAAAAAAGAAAGCAACAGCCATGCAACCAAAAAATCACTGTAAAAATACCAGTACGATATATACAAATCCCTTTTCAAATAATATTTACATTTTACAGCATTTTTATAAAGCTCTGGCAAGTTTCATTCATAACAAAGATTTAGGCCTACTGAATGGATCTTGATTTACAAAAGTCAGATTGTACAAATGTCACAGAGCATCTATGTACCTATGCAAGCTCACAAGACGGAATACTTCACAAAGAGCACACTCCTTCACAAGCTTTTCATCAGTTCCAGGACCACAGCTTCTCTAGAGAGTCCTGCCCACTCCAGGATAAGAGTTCTGGAAGGTTCCTTGGAAATATGCTCCAGACCTCCTCCTCCTCCTCCTGTGGGCTTCAATGTGTCTGCATGCGGAGCCTTCCCAGGGAAACTGCTGAAAATTTGGAGAGTGGGAAACAGACCTGGCTTTCCAAGAAAACTAGGTTACATTTGTATTGAAAGGACATAACTTTCTTTCCCTTTCCAAGCGAGTTCTATACTGTGGGTGTTACACTTCCTGGGCAAAGAACGGAGGTGCCTGAAACAGTAGGAATCATCAAGGCAGAGATAGGAAAATACACTGAAAAATGTTTTGACCCCTCACCCTTGTCAGGTTAAACACTAAGCTTGGGCACGAACCATGCTCCAGTCACTCCCCGATACACCCCTGTAAGCCCCACAAACGTCTTAAAGCTGTCGAACTGCAAATACTTTTGCCAAAGGAACCCCATCATTTCTAACGGCGCCCGCAAGCAGCTCTTGACACATGCTTGTGCCCGCCTTCGGGTTCACAGAGATGCCTCAGTCCCACCACACCAAAGCAACCTGGCTGCAGCCCTTGCTGCTCATCTGTTCTGTGGGGCAGGCGGGCCTTTTCCGGTTCAGCTCGTTTTTCCCAGGCAGAAAGGATGCTTGGGTCTTACCCCGATAAGCCAATACAGCTCACTCCGTTATGAGGACACTTTTCTAACAGCCACATGGTGAAACGTGCTCCAAACCACTTGCTGCGAGAACATGCAAGTCCACGTGGATCACATCCTACAGGTGGCTCTTGCCAGGCAGGTTCAGAGCAAAAGGTCAGCGCTCGTGACTCAAGAACCACGTCTCGCTTTTAAAGAGGCTGACCGAGAGCGCAGCAGTGGGGAGGGCAGGAGCAGTCTTCTGGAGGCAAACCGAGTGCAACTCACTTCTCCCCGTCTGAGAAGAGAACCTGCTTGCAGCAAAGACCAAATTTATCCGTCAGAAGCACCGGAAGGACAGAACCAGCCCTGGCTTCCGGCTCCGTTTAGCAATTCTGGAAAGACCAAATCTAGGGGGCTGCTCTTGGATGTGACACAAAGGACACTGCAACCTCTCCTCTGAACTATTTATCATGGTTTCTAAGGGAATGGGGGCTGTGCTGAGTCAGGGCTTTCCAGGATGCTGGAAGGCTACAACTGCCCCTCCATAACAGCTCGTGGAAACTATTGGTTCTTTGTGTGAATGACAAATCCATCATTTCCGAACACCGGTGGTCCCTTTGCTTCTTTAGAGGAGTGCAGAAGACATACAAGCAAAATAAAGAGTGTTATTAATAATTTAATTTCAATACTACAAACTCTGTTTTGGTAGAAGGCATCGCTTTTTCAAGGGGTCACCCACCAGAGGCAGTAGCAGCCTGTTCTAGCCTGGCTGAATCACATCTGAATCCAGCAACGCAAGGAAACGGCAGAAGGGGTATTTAAAACAAAATTCAATACAATTACAAAAATAATTCAACATGGTTACTTCTCCATAATAATTTTCACTGCGCTAGATTCTTTTTTTAAAAAAGGCTATGATACACATATATTGTTACAGTTTAGAAATGAAGATATATATATTCTACAGATCAGCATGGCTGACAGCTTCACCCCTTAACACGGCACACTAAGAAACTGTCATCCTTTCGTCAGCCTCTCCTCCATTCGACAGACAATAAATACCTGAAGAGGAGAAGCGGGGGGATGTCGACATGGCCCGGCCACTGTGCAAAGAATGAGGGAGGGGCTGGCGGCACTAGCCAGCCTGGGTCTGAAGACACTGAATGATTCTGAGTGGACCTCAAAACCGTCCACAATGGGACCTGGAGGGGCATGACACAATACTGCCTGAGGGGGCTTAAGACGCTCATTACTCTCCTGCAAGTCGCTTGGAGATTACACTCAGCAAAGCTCAAAGGATGGAGGTACATAGTCAATGGCAAAAAGGAGCATTAATGGAATTTTTAAAAAGTGAAGAACACTGCTGCTTCTTTTGGACACAAGGCTGCACGTACAAGTCTTTTAATACTACTGGCAGAACGGGGAGGCTGTTGGGTCAAAGCCTTTAAAAACATCCTTCAGAGAGCCAGCATCCTGCAGCTCCCCTTCCTGGGCAGGGCTGTTCCCTGCAAAAGGACTGCCTGCCCCCGACTTAGCCGCCTGTTTTACCATGCCATACACAGGCGGCACTGGGAGATTGTGGACGCCAGGCTGAGTGACAGCCATCTCTGCAACAGGCACGGCGGAAGCAGGAGCAGAGGTGGCTGCCTTGGGCCGTGGCCGATTGTAGCTGTTGTAGCGGTCAGTTGCAGGCTCTGGGCTGGGCTTCTCTGCTTCCAGCTGATCCAGAGCTGACCGACGCACAAACAGCGGCTCCTTCCCTCTGCCGCCACCGCCTTTGCCACCTTCGGAGCTCTTGGTGGCTGGGCTCCCTTCGCCAGCAGACTCTGCAGACTTGCAGCCAGGGCTTGGAGTCCTCGGGTCATAGAGGCTGATCCCACTCAGGACGCTGCTCTGGCCAGGACCTCTGCTCAACCCTCCTGCTGTCAGCAGCCTGGGATCATAAGGTGCTATGCTGGCTGCGGTCTCCGTACCCACTACTAGAGGGGAGTTGATCTCTGCTTGCTTTGAGGTCCCTGAGGATCCTGGCTCAGAAGCCTTGGGCAACCGGGGATCAACCGGTGCCTTCCGCGTACGGGGATCGCTTGGCTTGTCACTCTGTCCAGGACTGCCTGCTGCATTGACTGTCTTTAATATCCTGGACAGCAGCTCAAAATCTGGAAGGCTGGAGCCGGAGCCAGCGGAGGGTTCTGGCTGGGACACAGCCCGCTGCCTGGGGTCAGAAAGGCTAGCGTTCTGAGGCCGGTTCAGGCGCGGGTCGAGAGCAGGCAAGGCCTGGAGAGCAGCTGGGACAGGAACCAATTCCTGCTTAGGGACAGGCAGGGGGATCAGGTCCTCAGGGCTCCACAACACCATGCGTGCGAAACTAGGCTTGAGCAGGACCACATCTTTCTTGATGTGGCTGAACTGCTGCAGCTGGCAGCGAGGGTCCCTAAGGGAGTGGCTTGGCAAGGTGTCTAGAGGGATTGTGACTGGTTTGTCCCGGAGGGCCCTCTCCCCTTCTTCCTCCTCTGGGACTGGAACAGCTTTCTGGCCAACTGAGGGGCTCGAATGCAGAGCTTCTGCTGCTTTGGGGGCCAACGTGGGGACGTGCCGCGCCAACCTTGGATCAGTGGGCCCTGCATCTCCAGCCCCAGAAGGCTCCAGGTTTCGAGAAAGCCTGGGGTCGCGCAGAAGGCGAGGATCAGCTGGCCGGCTGCTTCCCGAGGGCTGGCTCTTCTGAAGGCGAGGATCGCTCCTGCCCGAGGCAGAGATGATGTTTCCAGAGGGGTCTTCGTGGGGCCTGCTGGAACTTTGCTGCCGCAAGGTCTTCAGGATGGAGCTGACGCTGCTGCCGCCTCCATCATCCTCATCGCTGGAATACCAACTGCCAGGATCACCTGGCAGAGTGACAGAGAGGGCAGTAAACCAACCCTGGCTACCTAGGAAGCTTTTTCAAGAAGCAACCAAGAATAATTTCAAAGCCGCTAACAACATTTTAAGGAGGAATGTAATTCATGGAAAATCACTGATTCAGGCAAAAGGATTTCTGCAGACTTTGACCAAGCATCAGGAAAGAGCAACTGCTGACAGTCGCTCTCTCTTATCCAACAGCTGCTCTTATCTCAACTGACAATGCTACAATAGGAGGGGGGAAAGGCACTCAACTTCTGGACCTTTCCCTAACCTAAGCTGGACGTTGCTGGCACATTGCTTCATTTAATACCCATGACAACAGCCCTGTGAGGTGCGCTGGGCTGAGAGTTTTCCACAGGTACTGTTCTATAGGGATGGTGGTTGGGGAGCAAGTACAAACGAGTGTTCTTCCATGAGAGTCTGTACCTACAGTCTTAGTAGGAAAAAGCAACGGTAGCTTCCTACAGTCACATCAAGCTGTGGTTTGTTGAATAAGCCACTACTGGCCATCACAATCAGGTAGCGTAATATGTGAACCCTGCTCTAGACTCTACCAGTATGGTGGCTGCTCCTGGGTTTTCACGGGTGAGGAAAATATTCTGCTGCCAACCTATCTATCTACCTACCTACCTGACGGCTGTAAGGCTTCCAGGCCTAGCAGTGGATCAAAGAACATGCCCACCAGGGAGGGACATTGGAAAGGCTGAGCTTTCCCATCTCAGAGCTGGCCAAGTCAGGTGCTCCAGAAAGGAACCTGGAGGTGAAGGAAGCCTGCCAAAGGCTACCTGTCCCGTCCCATCCCGCCCTGCCCCACCCCTCCTGGCCCTTGCCTTCCTCATGGTCCCGGTCCTGCTTGCAGCCCTCTGCCTGCCGGCGAGCCCTCTCTTCTTCCTGCTGTTTCTGCTGGATACGAAGGTACAGAGCCCTCTGGGTGGAAGGCAGGAAGTCTGGGATGCTGGTGGAGGGCTTCTGCAGTCTTGAGATGCCTCCATCGCAAAAAGGATCTGGCTCAAGGGAGGGATCGGGGAAGAGACCTTCCCCAGGGATCTCCTCATAGCCCGGATAGCCCTCTACCAGAGAGAGAAGGGGGGGGAGCAGTGAAAACAATGGATCAGAAGGCAGGCACCGAGCCAGCCCCCTCCCCCAACTCCAGACATACAAAACCACCTAGCCCAACCCATTACTCTTCTCAGGCCCAAGTCAGACACTTGCCTGGGCCAACCATGAGGCTGGGCTCTATCTCCAAGCCTTCTGGGTGCAAGTAGAAGTTGTCATAGAAGTCCTGTGTTGGTGGGCCAGGGGGCATCTCCTCAGGGCCAAAGGGCATCATGGGAGGGCCAGGGCCCAACGGAGGGCCAGGGTTCATCCCTGGACCCATTGGCATATCAGGGCAGATGTCAGGACATAGGTCTGGAAGCATGTCAGGGGGCATGTCGGGGGGCATGTCGGGGTGCCCAGGCCCAGGGAACCGAGGTGGAGATGGGCCAGGGTGCCTAGAGGAAAAGAAAGGTGGGATCAGGCATCTCCTAAAGACTGTGGCCCTTTATTTCTACTCGGCTGAGCCACAAAGCATCTCGCTTCAGCCTAGAATGGACAGGTCAGCCTGGCTGCCCTAGAAATCCAAGAGTCTTAGAGATACCGTCCAAAGGGAAGAGACTGGGCCATACCAACTATGGAAGAAGACCCCCTTTTCCCTTTGACCTTCTGCATCCCCCTTCCTTGAGGGAAGGCAACACCTACCTCACCCCCAGCTTCTCTGCCAGCTGTCCTGTGGGCCTCACTACAATCTCAAAGAGGGAAGGAATCTTCTTGTACAAGTCCTGCTGCAGCTGCTGAGGTGAGAGAGGCTCGTGGATTGGGAGAGGCATCTGTGGTGGCCCTGGGGGAGGAAGAGGTGGGGGGGGTGG